AGCCTACGCCGTCGCCGGCGACTCATGGCAGCCCAGCTCCAGATTGAGCTGTTGTTCAGCATCTTAGCTGTAGAGGGCAGTGTCATTGGCCCTCATATGTGGGATCCGAACCGGGGCCCTCTGGCGTCCCAAGCCAGCTCTTAACCATCGCGCCACTCAGCCAGCCCGAAACCCATTTTGTTCAGGAGCAGAGAGGAGATGGTTAGGTTTCTCAAAGAGCCACTCCTGAAATCTTTAGAATGAACATGCCTTTGGTTCTCACAGAAACAATTTTCCTGGAGAGGCTTCTTCACCTGAAAAATGAGGAGGCTGAAGATCTTTGACAAAGCTCTCATCTGCAGGAGGCCACCATAGGGCTGGAGTTCATATGTGCAATCCCAGAGACCTGGCGGGAAGGTCAAGACCTCCCCAGGAGAGGCCTCAAGCCTGGCCCAAACTGGGATGTAAAAGCCAGTATTATATTTGCTTCCAAAATAGTTTTCAAGAAGTTAAAGCTTTATGTCTAGCAGGAACCTATCATATATGGCAGAACAATGATCATGTGGACCAGAGTCAAAGACCTCCATCCATGTAGGACACATCGTGGTGTCTTTTTCTCTTTATCAACACGACCTCATGCCATGCCTGTATGAAGAAGGACAGGGCACCTTTTGTGAGATTTTGCACAGAACTATAGAGAGTATAGTAAGCTTCCTAATACACTTCTGTCTCCCTCTGTGATTTCTTCAGGCCTCTCAGGACCTAATCCACCTTTGTCTTCAGCCTGAGTGAATTACACAGGAGGATAAGTCTTATGGCTGTGATGATTCAAGATCTGGTATTTGTGATGGAGAAGCAACTGCAGTGGAGGAATGTATTGGCTGTAGCCATTCTATGTCCAAACCTCGACCATTTCCTTCTGCCAGCTACTAAAGAGCCTTGGCTTGAGAGATGTAAGCAAGAATTAGCTCTCCCTCCTCTGACCCAGGATAAGAACCTGAGAATCTGCATTACTCACAAACTCTTGCAGCTAATTTTTATGCAAATTTGATAACTATTCTGATACAGAGAAACGTTATGGATGGAAGCTCACATAGGAGAATGTATGAAGAAGGGTGAGGGGATGGTGTTGGTATGTGTGGGTCAAAGGTGGAAGCCCATGAGCCTCTTAAGAATTGAGAAAGCTAATAAGCAACTTTTGGTGGTTCCTCTAGCACTTTCCTATGCCTTTTCCTCCACCCCCCACCCCTCCACCTTAGTTCTGGGTTGATGTATACTTGAAAAAGCAGGTCTGTTTCTGTTTCACTGTCACCCTCTTTCCCCTGGACACAGAGCTGCCAAGATGGGCTGGTTCATAGCCCCTTGAGAGGAGCAGTGATGACACATTTGCATTAACATCTGTCCATTTGTTTCCAGACACAGGCTGGGTGGTCTCATTTAAGTAGATGCTGCACACTTGTGGCCTCCTAATTATCTCCTGCACCTGTTTGTAGTCCTTGCAGCTGGTCTGGAGTTTTAGGGGGCTTCCACAAGGCCCTTACAGGTCCCCCACCCATCTGTAAGCCTCTCCATCCTCATTCTCAACAGTGGGACTCAGCTACATCCCAAGCACAGAGGTCATGACTCCAGCTGGCCTTTGCCTGCTCCACAATTATAGCCAGAAATGGGGACTAATGTCTTGAGTATGCTTCTGAGTGGCTTTGCCAGTCTTCACGGAGGCTCCCCACCTAGGAATCCTGAGACCTTTTCCCTGGGAAGAAGAGAGGGGACAGCATAGAGAGCTGATAGACTCCTTAGAACTAGAGCCTGAGTCAGAACTTTAAGTGCTGTGCCATGGCTCCTGGGGTCAGAGCCAATAAGAACTAAGACCAGACTTGGTAACTGTGGGGGTGGGGGGCCTCAACATCTGCTCCAAGGCTTTCTCCTGTCTCCACTTTAACACCTTCGTTTAAGCTAAAGTGGGGAATGGTTTTCATCTTGAGACAGAGTCTGCAGAGGCAGTCCCTGGGAGCATATTCTTACTGCCTGGCCTCCTACTAGGGTGTTTCTCCTCTCAGGGGAGAGGAGAAGCATGTGATACCCCTTCAGGGAACTAAAGGGTTAGGCTCTTTGATCATAGCAACTCACAAGATCTTAGACCCAAAGGGAAACTCCTCTGATCCCTAATAACAGGATTCATGAAAGATGATGGATGTAGGAAGAAGGGAAGGGGGTTAATAACCCAGGGAGGTTAGCCTCTTGGTCATGGGTGGAATGAGAAGTGTTAGAAGATCTTGTTTCTAAAAGAGCTAAAGCTCCTAGGTTACCTTCCACAATGTCTATTTTAAATTGTTTTATTACCATTCTGGTAAATAAGGGAGCCAAGTGACAAGCCTTTTTATTCTCAGGCCCCTATGCTCCTATTGTAGTCAAATGGCTCATCTCCTGTAACAACTCTTTTATTTTTTATTTTATTTATTTATTTATTTTTAATGTTGTACCTACTTAACAGGAGGGATTGGAAGGCCCTGGAGAAGATTTGTTATGG